GGGCAGGAAGCGCTCCGGCTCCGGGAACACCTCCGGGTCGCGGTGGTACGGCCACAGCGGCAGGATGACAGTCGTGCCCTTGGGGATGCGCAGGCCGTCGTACTCCCAGTCGCGCGTGCAGAGTCGGAAGTGGCGCGAGATGAGCGGCGAAAGGCGCAGCGACTCCTGTATCGCGGCCTCCGTCAACGGCAGCCGCTGCAGCGCCTCGTATGTCAGCTCCACGCCGGCTGCCTCTTCGGCGATGCGGGCGGCGACGTCCGGGTTCTTGGCGAGGAAGTAGGAGGTGATGGTGAGCGTAGTGCCAATGGTGTCGTAGGCGGCCATCAGCATCTCGGCGCCCTGCAGCATGACGAGTTCTTCGGTGATGTTGAGCCTGCGACACTCGGGCGTCGGCACCTTCTTGTCGATGGCGTCCATCAGTGCGCCAATCAGGTCTGGGCGCTCGACGCCTTCGGCGCGCCGTTGCTTGATGGAGCTGCGCACCAGGTTCAGGAAGTACTTGAATGCGGGAACCAGCTCCCTGCCCATCATGTAGTTGGCGATGCTGGGGAACGAGGTCATCAGCGTTGTCATCCACGTGTCTGGGGTGTCTCCCTGGGCGCTGAAAGCCGATGCGTACTTGACGAACGTGCTACTTGTGTCTGCGACGTTGGGCACCTTGATGCCAAAGGAGAACTGGGCCATGATGTCCAGCGTCAGCGGGCCGAACAGGTCCTCTCGCATCGACAGCACTGAGGTCTGACGCATCTTCGCTTCCATTCTGTGGAATGCCTGCTGAGCGCACTCAACCATTGTGGGCATCATGGCCTTGAGCTTGACACCGGAGGCCAGCGCAGGAGCGAGCATGGACCTGAGCATCTTCCACTGCTCTCCCGGCTTCATGTCAAGCATGTCACGGCCGTACGGAATGTCGAACAGGATCGGCCGGTCGGGGAAGTGGTCAAAGTCTTTGATTAAGATCCGCTTGGCCAGCTCCGCGTCAGCCACGAACACCTGCGGCCACGGGCCTTCGTACACGCCCCAGACCTTGCCAAAGCGCTTGGCATTGCGCATGTCCTCCTGGTCGGTGGAGGTGCGGGCAGGGTACCGCACGCTGCCCACGAACGGGTACGGCTTGACGACGGGGATGCCGAGCTTCTCCAGCGTGCCGTAGTTGCGTGTACCATACTTGTACAGCAGAACCAGCAGCAGGACGACCAGCAGCACGGGCAGCAGCACGAGCTCCATGACTGCCGTCGCCTCCGCCCCGGAGAGCGCAGTCTGACCCGCTACCGACGGCGTCCGACGCCGGACGCGGACTGCCGGGCGGCGCGCGGGCGCGTTGGGACCGCCGCTCGCCACAAGGTCAAACGCATCAGGAACACTCAACAGTCCGACTTGTTGCATCGCTCATGGGCTGGCGGTTAGGAGCCGGGGTTCCTTACAGAGAGTGGTGCGTGGTCGCTCCACAAGACCCAGCGGCTGGTTTACGGTGTGTGTTGCGCCGCCTGTTTGCGGTGCACTCATGAGCGCCGGGTTAGTGAGCGATTTGCTGAATATCACTGTATCATGATGTTACTGGCGTACCCCTGAGGCCGCCCCTGCTCGCGCCGCCAGTGCTGCTGCACTTTGGTACGCCGCGGCCCCGAATGGCGGTGTACTGCCTGGGGCGCCACCCGCCGGAGTCGGCGCCGCCCGCTCGCTTCGCGGGATAATACAGTTGCCGTTTAGCAGCGCTCGTGTCTGGTCTGGGCAGACAACACGTAGACTTGAATAATCACAAAGTGCTTCGTGTTGTAAGCTCTCCGACTTGAAGGCTGAAATATTTTTTTGCACGTGGTTGACTTTAATGTGGGCGCTACGAGGGCCGCGCACACCAGTGTCCGGCCGTGTACCGGTGCTGCAGTGCAGTTCGCTCCCGTTCCGCAGCAAGCTCCTTAATCGAACCCCGGGCCACGAGAGCATCAAACTTTGCTATTAAATAGGCAGAAGGTTTCATCTGCATGGCACTCATGACGAAACAATAATGGCAGACAATATGCACTCTATTCACAGTCTGTGGACAATTCCTTGCGGGGCCGGATTTACAGAAAACGAGAAAATGGAGTTCTCCAACGGAGAGCTTGCTTCGCCCCGGCACTCTCCGTCGGAGGAAAGCGACGGAGCTGCGGATTGCACTTGTGTTTAAAATGATCGTGGGTAAGCAATGTATGTCCGCAATAAATAAGCTGAGGTTCATACAAATCGACCAGACAAAATGCCATCGGCTGTCCACAAAACTCCGAACGTCTATCCAGGTCCGTCCAATTGCCAAATAAGAATGCTGATGCTCTGGAGTTCTTACGATTTAGAATCCAATCGGCACCTCTTGTGCAAACACGGGGCTGCCAGCGTCACTGTTACATCGTCTCACTGCGTTCGCTTCCGCCTCCACCCATTGCTGTTCCCGCCCGATCCAGGGTCTGTTTGGACGGCCGCCGCTCAGCGGAGCCGGCGCGCGTGATTGGCTCTTGGCCATGGCCCGTCATACCGATCAATGAAGAGATTCTACCAGTCACCAGCGACGAGGCCGACCAATGAAAAGATTCGGTCAGTCACCAGCGACGAGACGAGGCCGAGAAGACCGTGACGGGGAGGCCCCCCCCCCCCCCCCCCCCCGCTGGAGCGAGCCGGGCCACCGCCGCCAGCCCCGTCCCTGCTGGCGGCGAGGTCCCAGATGCGTCGCGAGGTTGCCTGCGTATTGGGCCTCCGACGCACGGGTAGGTGCGTGGCCGTACAGTCGATGCGTTCTAAAGCCCCGGCGCACGGGTAGGTGCGTGGCCGTACAGTCGGTGCGCCCTAAAGCCCCGGCGCACGGGTACGGTGCTGTTGATAAATTGTTTACTCTATGGGCTCAGGATCAGGTGCGGCCCTCGAGGTGCCGTCACGTGTGACCGAGCGCGCTCGGGAGAAGTGGGCAGGCACGCGCCTCTGTTCATCCTGACCTTGAAACCGCGGAAGCAACAGTCATAATGTTGCGTCATGAGGGCTTTCAGAACTCGGATTCCATCCCGCACCATCATATGTGAACACTTAGCACGGAGCTCAGGTTGGGACGTGGAAAGAAACTGATCAGAAGCCCCGTGGTGCTGCAATTATGGAAAGCTTTTCCAGCTTGTGCCCGAGTCATGTTGTGCAGTCTAAACATCAGATGAGTGGGTCGGTAAATGCTGTTCCCGATGACATGCGAGATATCCACCCCTTTCATGTGTAGGGTTAGCTCTCGCCATTCAACCACGTTCGAGCTCAAACTGCTAATTGGAGCAGAGTTGGGGAGTTTGATACCTAGTCAGTCAATGCATGTCGCGTTGCGTCAACGGAAAGTCTTCCAGGTCACGCCCCAGTGTGTGTTTACCAACATCATCAAGTAATGGCACCCATCCCCGGCAAAAACTGCGGCATTAATGAAAACACCAAATGATCTTCCAGTGCCGGCCGGGCGGTAGTAAATCTGCTGCGACGAACCGTTGTATGATGAGTGTTCACATGTCGGAGGCTCGGAACAGCCTGGCCCGGTATCTCGGCACCAACGACGCCCCGCGGGCACGCAGGCTGACAGGCTCAACACCACGATCCACGTCCTGCATAGGTGTATTCAAAACAAGCCGTGGACTAGTGCATTCCACCACAAATCACTACCCTCATTCGTGATCACATTCAATAAAGCACATGGACGAGGGACACCAGAGCGCCCAAAACCAGCACCACTTGACTAGCTTAGGAGAGAGGACAAGCCTTATCAAATCAGCCGGGAGCCTAAGCTCGATGATAGCGCAGACAATCGGAACACTTAATCGCGGAGGTGACCAGCCGTCCGCCGCCGGGTCGGAGGTGACGGGGCGGGGCGAGGGGAGGGGGCGTCACAAGGCCGGGGCACGCGCCTCGCCTTCAACGGCTGCGCCTCAGCCACACAGCTGGTGGCAGAGGTCGCGAGCGCACGCTGTGCCGCCCAGCGTCCGTGACGATCCAAACGTGCCGACAACGTGCCAACATCTTCGATATAGACTTCAAGCCGCCCGCCCAGAAGTCGATCGGTGAGTCGTTGCGTCGTGCATTTGCCGTGCCTGTTTATCCATGTCTGTTTTATTCACGTCTGTTTTGTCATGTCTATTTTACATTTGAGAGGGATGAAAGAAACTAAAAATCCATCACTTTGCGGCTTGAATTCTACGTTGTGAATTGGTACTGTCCTCTATGACGTGCATCTGGTAAGCTATAGGACTATTCAAGATGTGCCGCCTTGAAGTGTTCGCCGCCATTAGACTGCATCTCGTTGGATTCATTTAGACTTGTTAGCGCGTTCGTTGACGGTCGGCTCTTACCGTGTCCCAGAACCGCAGCCTTGATCCATGATCGTGTCCGCTGATAGTGCCGTCCAGTCGTCCTGTTTCCCGTTTGTGTCCCTGGATCCCGGCAGGCTGCATCCCCGGGCTGTATCCCCTGCGTCCCCAGCTGGTGACCCCAGCCCGTGATCCCAGCCCGTGATCCCAGCCCGTGATCCCAGCCCGTGATCTCTGCCCGTGACCCCAGCCCGTGACCCCAGCCCGTGACCCCAGCCCGTGACCCCAGCCCGTGACCCCAGCCCGTGACCCCAGCCCGTGACCCCAGCCCGTGATCTCTGCTCGGGACCCCAGCCCGTGACCCCAGCCCGTGATCCCTGCTCGTGACCCCAGCCCGTGATACCTGCCCGTGACCCCTGCCCGTGACCCCAGCCCGTGATCCCAGCCCGTGATCCCTGCCCGTGACCCCAGCCCGTGACCCCAGCCCGTGATCCCTGCTCGTGACCCCAGCCCGTGATACCCGCCCGTGACCCCTGCCCGTGACCCCAGCCCGTGATCCCTGCCCGTGATCCATGCCCGTGAGCCCAGCCTGTGACCCCAGCCTGTGACTCCGGTCGGTGACCCCAGCCGGTGACCCCAGCCCGTGTCGTTCCGCAGAGACGCGGCCGGAGCCGTCACCGGGCCCGTCGGCGGCGGCTGCTGAGGAGCCGGCGGCGGCGCGCCGACGGCCGGAGAAGCGCACCGCCGAGGACGACGAGGAGCGCGCCGTCAAGCGGCCCCGGCCCGACGAGGACGTCGACCCCGACCTCGTCCGACAGATCCTCGAGAGCATGGAGGACCCCAAACGGCTGGCCGGCCAGGAGGTACGTGCCAGCTGGTGTCACCGGTAGCGGCCAGTGGCGGCGGCCGCAGCCAGAGCGGCTGACTGGGGTTCAGCGCGGTTGTTTGAACAATCGACGACTGTTGTTTGCTGATGTTGTGAAGCTTATGTGCCTTGGTTGTTTCTTCAGCTTTTTAAACGGTCACTGAACTTGGCTGTCAAGTGTTACAGCTGAGGCTTGCGGAGCGTTCCCGATCTGTTCAGGTGTGCTGAACGCATCTGTGTGGCAGCACGACTGCATGCTGTTATCCGGGCCGTATTATTTCTGCCCCGTGTTGTGACCACCCTCGGCTGCTCAGTGCGCAGTCACGTGTCTGCGAAACATATCCGGTGCGCGGAGGACCTTCATGCAGAAACACGCGACTGCATAACCAAGCCATAGCCAGCGGCAGTTCGCCGAATGGGCTGGCCTTTTTTCGACGAAACTCGCGAAGCTACGGCGAGTCACGTTTCGGGCTATTGCCTCTTTTACGTCTACCTCTCACTGGGTTTGGGTGACAGCGTGTTGCTTTCGAGATTCGAAAAACGTGACGTGACGAAAAGCGTTGGGCGGCGCGGGTGGTTTGTAGACAGCACATGAGCCCACATCATGCTGCTGGTTCCGTGGCGTCATGTGCGTAATCTGTCGGGATCTGGCATGGATCCTATAAAATGCTCAGAAACGCCGGATCCGTGGTTTTTGAATGAGCGCACGTGGGCCGCCCGCACGTAATAAGCCGCGCTTTTGCCAGTGTGGTAGTCCGTTCTTTGCCGAGTCGAAATTTGCTGATTTCGCTTCGTTCAAACGGATCGGATTTGTAGCCCGTTGCGGTTCTGTGTTACATTGCATTTGGTGTGTTTTCCGTTCAGAAAATTCGTCTGTGAACGGAAAGAACGGAAACGAACGGAAAATAAGGAAATTTACAGCATTTAAACAATTTTGGTGCGTTATCACTTATAAGAGAATGCGTGCAAATGTAATTATTGAATCTCCCTGTTTATTAAATCTTGCTGCCCCTGTTTCCTCCTGTTTTTCGTTCGTCACAGTGGATTGGTTTGCTATCGAAAACACACGTACACAACGTGACTATTAATCGTCGGGGGGTATCAATCGGGCACCTTTGAACTGAGGTACTTGATAATGTCACAGGCACTGTTCACCGCCATTGGGCACCTGTGTGACCCAGTTGCGTTCAAATCCGAGAGATGAGAGTACAAGTCACCCTTCGTTATGTCGTAGAAAGGCCGATGCTATTTTGGTATGTTGTGCTATGCCTGACAATAATGCGTGTTATCATTCCTTTCATTCAGTCGTACAATTTGCATAGTTCAATTTTTTGGAGTCTGGCTGGTGTTGGTCGCGAGGAGCTCAATAATATTTGTTTTCTGCTTGGTCTAAATGGGTACCCTTTGGTGCTTCTCATGCAGTCATATTGATACGAAAACATGCATACACTGTTTTTCCTTTCATTAGATTTTGTTTCATTCATAAGATATTGTCAGCTAGCTGCATTGACGCACCATTAGTCCCCGCTGAAGTCCGCAATACCTGCTTGGTTGTAACATGTATGCCGGAAGCAGCTCCGCCCGCCGTCCTGGTCATCCGATGACTCCCAGCCGGCCCCGCGGATCCCTGCCACCAGATCCTCGCGATGCCCCGCTTGTCAGGAGTAGGCTGCATGCGCCAGCCACGAGTGGGCCGAGAGGCCCCTGGGAAGAGGGACCCTGACCGGGCGCCCAGCGTTCACTCCGGGGGCTCTTGCGCGGGCCAAAGCTCAGCGGTTGGCGCCCAGGCGCGTGTAGCACTGCCCCAACGTTATTCATTCTCCTTCATCCATAGTCCTGAAATGATCATCTCTGATCGAAAGGCCTCTAATCCATACAGCCAAACAGCCAATTCTCGGGCTATGTAGTGCCGGGTGCAGACGTAACCACGTGACCTCACCGCCGGCCGGGAGGGCCGTATTGGCAGAGGCGATGACAAGCTACGGTTGGCCTGCCCCGCCACGGGGTGTCGAAAGCAACTTTCTATTGATGTTGCAGACGTTCGAAAGGTTCAGCCACGGGATGATACATGAAACTGACGCTGTCATTGGTTCGCTTCCAATGCATGCTGGAGGCCAGAATGTGCTAGATCCTAGTCATGACCATCTCGACTGTGGATCCCCGCACATTGCTGAAAAAAACATGACCCAGTGCCTTTGCGCTGGAGTTCCCAGAGCGCGCGATGTTTGCTTCGGGACGTAACACCAGCTGGAGGCTTTGTTGGATTGTTTTCTGACGTTCCGGCGCCATGGGACTGAACGGGGCCGTCCGTTCTCCACAGTCGCTGTTTTCGGAGAACGCGGCCCGCGACGAGGCGGCCAAGGCCGAGGAGCGCGCCGGCCACATCAGCTTCCACGTGGTCGGCAACTCGCTCAGCCAGAAGGTCAGCAAGACCACCATGCTGTGGCTAGTCGGCCTGCAGAACGTCTTCTCGCACCAGCTGCCCCGCATGCCCAAGGAATACATCACGCGGCTTGTCTTCGACCCGTGAGTTCCGGCCGCGCCTGGCCGCTGCGCCGTTGCCGCTCGGCAAACCTGGGAGGCTCGGGGTGGTTTTCGTCCGCGTGCTGTTATTCGTTTGTGTGTTTGACCTTGCGCCCTGATGAGGCATTTCGGTATTTCTTGCGCGTATTTCTTGTTGATGTGCTCACCGCTTCTCCTCTTGATGTGTTATGCGGTGTCAGCGTGGATATTTTCCGCGTTTGTTTTCGTTTAGTTGCTGATTTACAGACTCACGCTGCGAAAGCCGCGCGTTGTTTGCGCGAGCAGACTGTGTGGTCGTCGCTGCTCCCCAAGCTTCCCGCCGTGAGGCCCCGTCCGCCGTCTCGTGGCACAGGCCGCCGGCCGTGTCTCGCTCTCTGCCGTCCTGACACAGACATGCTCACCGGGCCGGCGGCAGGAAGCACCGGACGCTGGCGCTGGTGAAGAACAACCGGCCGATCGGCGGCATCTGCTTCCGCATGTTCCCCAGCCAGGGCTTCACCGAGATCGTGTTCTGCGCCGTCACCAGCAACGAGCAGGTGCGTTCTGGCGGCCGGTGTGCGGCGCCTGTGTAGTTCGACGCTTTTTGTTGGATGTAGTGTGATCCGGCGCTTCGCGTAAACACTTGTGTATTTAAGCCAGGAATTTGATCGAAGAATCAAACAAGATATGGGATATATATCTGGTACTCATATCGTGCTCAAATATCACATACTTGGTACAAATGTCACGAGTCGCGTAGTTGTCGGTCACAACCTTGAACTCGCTCGACCTGACGTGTCGTGCCCGTCCGTCAGGTCAAGGGCTACGGCACGCACCTCATGAACCACCTGAAGGACTACCACATCCGCCACGGAGTGCACCACTTCCTCACCTTCGCCGACGAGTTCGCGGTCGGTACGTCTCTCAATGGGCCGAGGTCCGCCGACGGCGGCACTCCTGAATAACGCCCTCTGGCGCCAGTCAGTGATGGCGCTGCGCGGCCTCTGCCGCTGATGATAGTTTAAACGCGTGATGATAAGCCGCGTTGCGTGGAAGTGTTGTTGCGTCTTGTTATGATCATTTCAGTGTCATGGTATCCTGGCGCGCGCGCGTGTGTGTAGGGAACAGCTATGTAGGCCATGCATTCCACACATTAGCAGTCGTCGCACTGCGAATGTGAAAACGTGCCGATCGGTTGATCTGTCGCTGCGCTCCGGCAGGTTACTTCAAGAAGCAGGGCTTCAGCAAGGAGATCAAGCTGAACCGGAAGAAGTACGTGGGCTACATCAAGGACTACGAGGGCGCCACGCTAATGGGCTGCGAGCTGTCGCCCCGCATCATCTACCGCCAGTTCAGCTCCGTCATCAGGAAACAGAAGGAGGTGGGTGGCGTCGGGAGGCCTCTGGCCGCCCCCCCTGAGGAGTTACTCGGGACTGCGGCCGTCAGCAAGCTGTAGCAGGGCTGATGTCCTGGCGTCTGCCGCGCATGACTGGTGTTAATGCTCCCTGCTCCTGCTCCCTGCGCCGTGCCAGGGTTTCCGAACTGCCTCGCCCAGCTGGGATAGGGGTCCGAATTGGTCCGCAGTCCGCTTGAAAACATTAGTGATGTAAAACCATGTGGTAAACACCGCCGTAGTGATTGTATAAACTCTCCGCTGGTAGCCTTTTTCAGTCAATGGATCTCCGTCCAAGACACGAAAATGGCCCGAAGATAGATCAAATCATAAGCAATCTGGACTCTCCTAGGCACTGCACCGGGACCACGCAACACAGCGCCACAGCTATGCCACTGAAGTCTTTCTCTGTGTCTCGGGCAGAAAGTACGGTGCTAGGACCACCTGTGGCCTCCCAGACCTGGGTCATCTTTTTCACGGCGAATACCAGTGATTTGCTGTAGTGAATTATTCGGCTGGAAGTGGTGTATTTCTCTTTCAATGAAGCAACAATGTTGTTTTGGTTCCGATGTCGCCCAACGGCTGACCTGGGAGCGGCTTGGGTCAAAGGGGTCACCCGAGCTAAATCACCGCACCTAGGCCCCGCAACTGACTTGCTTGTTTCGCCGGGACCCCGTAACCTCACTTGACCCCACCTACATACTGGCAGCGATGCTCCGTTGGCATGCTGTCAACCTTACGGCCTTATGTATCCCTGTTTGCTACACCCAAACATCACCCGGACTACATTGTCGTTTCAAAGTGGTTAAAATGGTAAACATGTTATTTTTAGCATGCATGCATCGCTAGAGAACGACTGTTTACAAAAATTCATTTCAGATCAGGCTAGTACACTGACATGACTTGACCTATAACATGCCAACGATCAACAGACTGCCCAGTCAGGACTGGTGGACTTTCAGCCCGTTGGCTGAAATTCGGCCCAAACCCATGATAAACCAAACCCGAGCATCGCACTTTCGGAACATCAAGGAACACGACCCTTGACGCATGCGAGCCTTGGATAATGACCTTATATCTACGTTGCCTGATGTAACGCGAGGTCGCGATTGGTTTCAAGATGTGCGGCAGCTGCCGCAGTTGCGCTATCAGCGGAGTCAGCGTATACTGGTCAGTCCCGTGCGTCGTTCCAGTGTGCTCTATCCGAACGGATAAGCATATGAAGGGCCTTGGTGGGCAATGCTTTTACTTTCGCGCGCGAATCCAACGGAAAGTGTCCATTTTTGGCCTCGTTTCAGTGGCCCAAGATTACGAAAAGGTGTTGACCGTGGCGCCGCGCGTCGGTGCTCCGTGTTGCAGATTATCAAGCGGCTGATCGAGAACCGACAGGCATCCATCCGCAAGGTGCACCCGGGCCTAACGTGCTTCAAGGAGGGTGTACAGGGCATACCGATCGAGTGCATACCAGGTACGGGGCAGCCGCCAAACCCCGGTGGCGCGGGCTGGGCGGTGGAAGAGGGGGCGGGGGTTATGACGACGCCGGGCGGTCGTTCACGCGGCGCAAGTCGTCGTGTCCAGTGATCCGGTCTGCCTTCGTCCAGTGCGTGGAGTATTAGCCGGTGACGTGCCGTTTATCCGCACATCTTCACCCAAGACCGCCGTGAAGGGTGGCATGGCACAGCGCGGTGTTGCCGGCTGGATGAGCCGGCTGCCGAGGGAGCCCGGCGCGGTCGCGGCGTCCACGGTCGTGATCAGTGGTGGCCAGCCTGCTCGCGCCCGCGCCGTGCGGAGACTGCAAGTCACCCCTGCCGCCGTCGCCGGGCACTCCGTGCCGTCCGTTTATCATCTGAAGGTCATTGTCTGAACACTCGTCCTGCCGCGCCGGTCGGTTTATTGACTCGGCTGCGCAGTGGCTCGAGGTCACGCGCTGCCGGGCGCGCGGGGTTCGGGACCGAGCGGGGGAGGGCGACCGCTGCTGACGGTGGCAGATGACAGCCGGCGGGACCGATGTCTCCTTCCCGCTGGTGGTGTTGGCCGCTGGCCGTGTGGACGAGGCGAACCCACCGCCGCCGCCGCCCCAGAGGTGCAGGTGGCGCGACTCCAGCCTATAAGTAGGTTTTTAAGGGCCCATGGCGCGGCGTACGCCTGTCATACGCTCGCTGACACCTCTCAATCACATGCGTCGCTAGGCAAGAGGCATCAAGGACTTTTCGAATCGATCTTGAAAACGTGTTTGCTTCAAACGTGACGAAAAGCTATCTCATCCATCTCGCCGTGAAGTTTCTTTTGGGGTTACCTCACATAACGATGTTGGGTTCCCCGTTCTGGCCGCGGCCATCATCTGATCCGCCAATCAGCTACACAAACACGTACCCTTGTTCGCCTCCCCTCCTTGACCGCGCCGCTGTCATAACAGGGAGACGGCGACCTGAGCTGACCCTGACCCTGACCCTGGCTCTGACCCTGACCCTGACCCTGGCTCTGACCCTGACCCGGACCGTGCCCGGGACGGCAGGGATTCGGGAGGCCGGCTGGAAGTCGCCGGAGAAGTCTGCGCGCGTCACACGCAATTCGGACGACCTGGGTAACGCCGAGCTACTGCAGGGCACGTTCCGCACCCTGCTGCAGAACATGCGCCAGCACAGCGCCGCCTGGCCGTTCCTCTCGCCTGTCGACCCTACCGACGTGCCCGACTACTACGAGTTCATCAAGTACCCGATGGGTGAGAGCAAAGCGGACGGGACAGGGATGCGGCGGGTACTGGGGTAATCAAACACGCTACAGTCTGGAGCTGCATGTTTGTGAAGGTTTCACGCGTGTTGTACGTGAGGTGTTACTCAGGTGTCGCGTTCGTAGCGTTAAAATGGTCCTCAGCACGACGATACGCTGATATATCTTGCGTGCCAGTCGTATTTCTTTCTTTGTTTGTCTGTCGGTGTAATTTGATGTGTGCTACAAGACGCACATCTGACATTCGATCTTGTCTGACCTTCGATTGTGTCCCCAGATCTGGAGACGATGTCGAAGCGGTTGAAGAACAAGTACTACTGCAACAAGCGGCTGTTCATTGCCGACGCCACGCGCATCTTCACAAACTGCCGCATGTACAACGACCCAGACACCGAGTACTACCGCTGCAGCGTCACCCTCGAGAAGTACTTCCACAACCGGCTGAAGGAGGCCGGACTGACGGACAAGTGAGCGGCCTTGGTGCCGCGCGCGGCCCACCGGGGCGGGCGCTGAGTCGGTCTCATCCTGGAGGGCGTGGGGAGCGCGGTGCGGCGGCGGGTGGCGGTTGCGCACGCAGGCCGCTGCTGAGGACGTGACGGCGAAGCGGGCGCGGCCGGCGGTCGCCTGCGCGCGACACCCAGCCTGGTGCCGAAGCGAGCCCGCCGCCCAGCCGGACGGCGCGGCCGAGTGTGTGGAGGTCGAGCCGGGCGCTGCTGGCGGCGGGCGCCCAGCCGAATGTTCCCGCAGAGTGTGCGGAGGTCAGGCCGGCGCGCTGCTGGCGGCGGGGCGCTTAGCCGGATGTTCCCGCCGAGTGTGCGGAGGTCGGGCCTGGCGCTGCTGGCGGCGGGGCGCGCAGCCGGATGTTCCCGCCGATTGTGCGGAGGTCAGGCCTGGCGCTGCTGGCGGCGGGGCGCGCAGCCGGATGTTCCCGCCGAGTGTGCGGAGGTCGGGCCTGGCGCTGCTGGGGGGGCACCCAGCCGGACAGCGCGGCCGAGTTTATGGAGGTTGGGCCGGGCGTTGCTGGCGGTGGGGCGCCTAGCCGGACGGCGCAACGGAGTGTGCGGAGGTCAGGCCGGGCGCTGCTGGCGGCGGTGCGCCCAGCCCGTACTGCCAACTGGCGGCGCTGCTGGAGGGCGGTCTGGCGTGCCGTGACTGTGGCGTGGTCCGGACCGTTCGGCCAGCAGCCGACAGTCGGGCGCAGCTGGTTCGAGAAAAACGGCTGCCATCTCCCAGCCATGCTGGCGGTTTTCAGCCCAGCTTGACTTGCAGACACGGATAGGCATAGCCGTGTTCGTGAAGAATGTGTAGTTATTATTGTTAGCGACGAAAGCTCATGCCGTCCCGACGTCGTCTGTGGGCGAATGTTCGTATGGTACTTCGCGTGATTGCTCGATGCTATCTCAAAGTGGTTCCTGGCGTAGCCCGTTTTCGGCCGTCTTCGCCTCTGTCCGCTTGTGCCGTCCTGCCTCCTAGCCTAGGTGCCTCCCCCGTGGTCCATAGCCGGTCGTCGGCGTTAAGGCCACGGACTGGCGTTATTCTCCAGCAGCCGCCGATCGGGAAGTGAAGCTGAGAAGCTGCTCTAATGTTTGGAGCGCATTGTCCAGCGCAGGAGGCCGCTCGGAGATCATCACCATCGCTCTCGTTTTCACCAGTCATGTACCGCTGCAGTGTACTCAACATGTCCCAATAGATCCTGTGTTTGTTGTAGCAGTGTGATCTTGAGGCTTGGCGAGTACCATTAAGTGCAGGACTTCCGCTGCATGTGCGCTAGCCCACGAGGCTTTTGGTGTATGAGGCTGAGCCATCGCGCCAGGACTGCTATGCTTTCACGTCAGCGTGGGGGGTCATGCTCCAGCATAATCCACTGTATTCTCCCAAGTTGCCACCATCGTTGCTGTGGTCAGTTCGGGCACCGATGAGGTACCGTTGTCGGATCCCTGCCCGATGAGGGAATAACCATTCAGAACCGTCTGCTGTCGCGGCATACGTCACATACCCTTTACGTATTCACTGAAATCTACGCGGTGACGTGACCAGAAGCTAAAGTTTGCATTGGAAGTTGTTAAAAACATGCGTTTATAGGGGCAAAAAGTGGGTAAAACTCCTTTTGGTGGTAAAGTAGGGGACATGTCCTCCTTCCGCTCCCAGAAGCTTACCCATACGTGCTATGCAGTGGGTTGCAACAGTAGGTGTCGGTATTGAATAAGTAGATACACCTTGTAAGATCGCTGTAGCTAGTCACAAGACGGTGGACAGCTTGTAAGTAGTCACCTTGGCCATGGCTGTCGACGAAGGCAACCCGTAGTGCATCTTTCAAGCTGGTGCGACAACGGAATGATACACGAAACCGTACAGCTTTGTGATAGCTCCGTACACAATTGGAAAATTGGCATTGGGATTGCAACTAATTCCATCGACTTTGGATCGGGTATGCGGGACTACTACATTGCAACAACATTTGCGAGGAGCGTTATGCACGTAGATAAGGTCCTCTTCCTCGAAGAGAAAAATCGAGAAAATGGATATATAAATGCTCCGATGTTTTGGCAACACGCCTTTTTTAAATAAGACAGTGACAGCCTCTTCCCGGAAGAAAACAGGAGAATGGATATATGTATATAATATATATATATATATATATATATATATATATATATTAGATGAGAGATATATATGTGTGTGTATATAATATTGTATATATATACATATATACATATATACATATATATATATATATATATTATATTATATATATATATATATATATATTATATATATGTTGTAAATGGGTCGATAATTCGGCGACATGATTTTATCGAAACAATAGCAACTTGCCTGAATACAATAGCAAAGGTTGCTGTTGTTCGATATAGGCATGTTGCCGAACATCAACCCACCCACCTACATCTCCATTCTCCTGTTTTTTTTCGAGGAATAAGGCTTTTACTACTGTCTTATTTATGGAACACATGTTCCTCGCGGATGCACTGGACCACCCCCCCCCCCGTGAGGCACTAACTTTCCCCGTGGTGGGGGGGATTGCGTGCCCCACTAATCCGCGGGCGGTGGGAAGCTTGTAAAGCGCCCTTCCGGCCAAAGAGGAGGGGCCAGACGAAACGTGCCTCCCGCAAGGGCTCTGACCGTTCCAGAGTAGGGATTAGCAACCCTCGGCCCCAGTTTTCAGTCTTATCTGGGTCTCGCCGTACGCCGTTGGATCCGCAGGTAGCGATGAAGGGATCCTGGTCACTGAGGGAGTTGCCCTGCGAGTCAGTCGGGGCAGCTTACAAACACGTGGCTTTGGCCCGAATTTGTGATCCTGCGGATGCCTCGTGAAGTCTCCACACGAGGAAATCGGCTGGTCAGGCGTCGTGTTTTCGTGACACTGGCTTGGAGGCAAGCAGGTCATGTGACGGGTGTTGAGGGGAGGGCTACCGGGTGCAATGTCTGCCTCCTGACATTATTAACGGGCCGTACCTCGGCTTGTCACCAGGGTGCATGGTTAGCACCTGCGAACCGAGGCACTGGCGCCCGCAGACATATGCCCGGTAGCTCTCGCGGCAACTCTTTTGGCACACTGGCCTGCGTATAGCGTGCTGGTAGCCCTGGCGGCTCCTCTCTTAGAAGTGGACCGTCCCCGTGTTGGGCTCCGTAGTGGGCGGGGAATCAGCGCGCCGAATATAAACACATACTTATGGACACTTTATCATCAACCAACCCCCCAAACCCCGACCGTCGTCCACTACCCCAGTTTCTGGTCGTAAGAGCCGCCAAAGTAGATGACAAGGAAGGACAGTACCGCTCCGACTAAACCCATTTCAGCGCCCACAAGCATTTTCCAAGATTGGGACGCCCAAGGTTGTCTTTTCGTATGCGGACAGAGGCATAGAAGTGCATCTAACAGACGAACGCGAGATCCAGCGCATGCTTAAAACAACCACACTTATGCACAAAGTACGAGGACAGGGAGAGGTTAGGGTGCCCGTATCGGTGCACTCTCACCCCTCTAAGAACTACCCCAAGGGTGTGATTACTTGCCGGGACCTTCGCGGTGTGAGTGATGAGGATGTTGCT